GGGTTCTCAGTGGTTGTGGGGGCGGCCCCGGCCGCGGCCGCGGCCTCCGGGAGCGGCATCCACGGTGGAGCGGGGGTTCTTGATGGTCTCGTCCACGGACACGATGAGACAGGCGGCCTCGGAGGCGGCGGTGAGCGCGTTGATGCGCACCACGGCCGGCTCCCACACGCACGCCTCGAAGTTGTCCGCGATGTCCTCGTTGTTCACGTCCACCCCGTACCACATCCCGCCCTGAGGGGACACGACATGGTCATCATCACGGGTGGGGGCTTTGGGGCGGAAGGAAAGGCAGGCAAAAGGTTCAGAGCGTGGGACTCGCTGTGGGAAGGAGGATGGTTGAGGGGAACACAAATCCCAGCCACCACGTCCCTGGTTTTGGTGGCGCCTGTGGCAATGCCTGTGCCCAGTCTCTGCTGGGATTCTCCACAGAGCTCTCTCTGCACTCCCCTTTTATTAGGGTTCCTCTGGTGAACAGCACCTGGTGGTGTCCTTCAGTTAACTAGAATTCCCAGGACTCCCTGCACACTCCAGGTTTTGAGCCACGCACTCCAAGGCCCGAACACTCCCTCTGGATTCTGACTAGCTGAATGCAGGAGCTGCTGGCTCAATGTGTTCCCACACTGCAGCAATGCCTCATAAAACAGGAGGCTCATTCCATTTTAGGGTCACAGAATCAGGTTGGAAAAGACCTCTGAGATCAGAGTCCAACCTAAGGCCCAACACCACCGTGTCAACCAGACCATGGCCACATCCCCACCGTGCCAACGAGACCATCCACATCCAGGCTTTCCTTCAGCAGGGATGGTGACTCCACCACCACCCTGGAGAGCCCATCCCATGAAGCTCTAAAGCCTCCCGGGACTGATTCCCTCCCCACTGCTGCCTCACTCCCCAGCCCACAGCCCCAGGCTTCGCACCCCCTCATTTCAGGGCATTCCTGCTAATCCCACCATCAGGAGCAGGATGGAATGTGATGGGAGTCACCAAAGCCAGGGGACAACTTCCAAACACTGGGATCACGATTTCCACAAGATCAGCAACTGGGACCTCCAGCTTGCAGCTCCTCAGCCAACTTCCACTGATTCCTTTACTGTCTAACACAGCAGCTCTCTCCTGACAAATGATGCGTTTCCAAGGAGCAAACCGGGACTCCCAGCTCTGGGAGTCACCCAACAGCTGGGATCAAAGGGAAAACAGATCCTCTCCTTTTATAGCAACATGTGCCGAGCCCACACCTGATCTGGGAACAAACAGGGCGTTCAATCAAAGAGGACAAGTCTAACACGGGCTCAGCCGAGTTACACCGGATCCGACAGCTCCAGGAGGAAAACATCAGGGAGAAGGGAACGCCACCCACTGCTGGCTGTGCCTCGGGCTCCCAGGTGGCCCTACCTGTGCGTGCTTGGCTCGGAGCTTGTTCAGGATGTTGGTGGCATCAAAGCCGGCGTTGTCGCAGAGCTGGCGGGGAATGATCTCGAGGGCCTTGGCGTAAGCGCCGATCAGCAGCTGCTGCTTCCCTGGAATGGTCCTGGAATAGTCCCGGAGGTACTTGGAGAGCTCCATCTCTATCGCGCCACCGCCGGCAACAACCGAGTCGTTCTGAAGGGAAAAGGGGAACACCCTCATTCCAAGCAGGGGGAGAGCGGGAAAGGCTCCGTGTCAGGGCAATGCCAGCCCGGGGGAATCCACTGGGATTGCCTGGCAGCACTGCTGGGAGCTTCAGGAACACGCCAAGAACCTCCAGGGGCAGCTCCCAGCAGCTCATCCCAGCTGTGCACGGGATAAATGGGGGTTTTTGGGAGGGATGGCAGCTCACAGCCCATCTGGGCAAGGAAACCCACTTCCCTCACTTCCATAAAGCACCCGAAGTTAAGACATTGGCAACAGCACCTTACAGCCAAGTTCTGCCGTTTTTTCAGGAGAGAGATCAGGATGTCGTGTCTAAAAGGCAACAGCTCCCAAAATCTTGATGTGCTCCTTCCCAGCCCCTCAGAACATATAGCTGGTTTTAACCAGAAACTATATTAGGTGTAACCCAGAAACACCCACAGCTTGGCAGCATCCTCAGGACACGTCCAGAGAGGCCCTGGACTTCTCTTGGTGCTCCCAACTTGCCTTCAAAGGCAGGGGCCTGTCACCCCCTCAGACCGGTCACCAAAAGGGGGGAACAAGTGGATTTACAGGCATGGACACACACACGACATTAATCCTGTTCAAACCTCCTCAAGATCCACCCAGCACACCCAGGATTGTGCTCCTTCAGGATGGGGGGATGGAGCAAGCACAAGTTACAGCTGTGCAGAAAGGAAAGGAAAACCTGGAGAGCACTTGGAAACGCTGCCAAAGCAGCACTGAGTTGGCCAAGGAACGGCACTCGAGGTAATCAACTGGACGCTCCTCACTCCAGGCCTCTCCAGAGACCTCAGCCAACCTCTGGCGTGTGAGAAGGTTCCCAGAAGGAGTTGGGAAGGCTGTGCCAAGTCCGAGGAGCAGCCCAGCAGGGAAGGCAGCTCCCCTGGGGCTCACCTTGATGGCCCTCCTGACGATCATGATGGCATCGTGCAGGGACCGCTCCGTCTCCTCCATGAACTGCTCCGCTCCCCCTCGCAGGATTATCGTGCAGGTCTTGGCCTTGGGGCAGCCTGTGAAGAAGTTGTACCTGCCAAAGGCACAGGGTAAGAAGGGTTATTGGCATGGAGGAGTGGTGGTGGTGCCGCTGGAAAGGATCCACAGGGACAATCAGGGATTCTGGACAGGCCAGATCCGTGATCGAAGCCGTGTCACCCTCACAGCGCCCCATCGGATCTCGGGCTTGGAAGGAGTAGAGCCAGGCAATAAACACAGGGAATCCAGGAAAATCCACTCTCTTCCTGTTGCCAGGGATTTGCTGAACTGGTGCTCCAACTTTCACTTGGTAGGAGTCAGCAGCCAGCTCCGAACAGGAATTCTGCTCCAGCAACAGGAAGGACCCCAAGTGTATTGTCCCCAACTTCACCTGCACTGATGTGGCACTATGGAATATCAGATAAATGCCACCATCAACCCCAAAATGTGCTGCTTTCCCATCACAAATGAAGCAACACCACTGTGCTTTCTACAAGACACTGCAGAATAAATACATATATTTTAAAAGCATAATAAAAGGGGTAAGATTAGAGGAAATCTCAACCTCAAAAAGCAGCTTTTGTATACAACAAAATAATTGGTTTTTAACAACCTTGTTTTCACAGGAACACCTTGAATGATGCTCCAACCTGCCAGTGCTTTGACCCAAACTGCTATTAGAGGGCTGGCAATAAATACACACAATAAATACAGCTGGTGTATTTACCTCTCTCCCCCAATCTGAGTCTCCTCAAAGAGTTCACACCGGCCCAGAACATCATCTGTCAGGGCATTGACACTGGTCTGGATGGATCCACCACAGGCCTGCGTGGAACGGAGATAAAGCGAGCAATTACCAACACTGACAATCCAAACTCATTTCCCAGCAGAGTCCCATTCTTTAGGGACAGCCCAGCTGTTCAGCTGATGCAAATCCATCCTGCAGGCCAAAGTCAGGAAAACCCTTTAATTTCCCTGCCATCTCAAAAATCCTCGACAGCAAAATAAGATTACGCGGCTTCAAAGCGCTGACTCACGGGCTCCAGATTCCAGGAAATACACAGAGCTCAGGGAAAAAAAACCAAACCACTCATGATGGAACAGGCAAGAACTAGGGAAAATAAACCTCTACTGATGCAACGAGCAGACCTCAATCAGAGAAAACAAAAGAGCAGTGCAGATGCAATTAGTGTGTGATTGTTCGTTCCGTCAAGGAACAGCCTCGTCTGTCTACGGCAAGTTTAAATAACGACGACACGGGAAAAAACTATGTGATTTTCATTTTATACCTTTGCAAGGAACAGCGTGTTCAGGCACAGCCTGCTGCCCTGGTTTGGGAATCCCCAGCCTGGCAGTGCGAAAATGAAATCAAGGAGCTCACCATCATGGTCCGTTTGAGATCCTCCTCCGGGACACGGCCGGCACAGAACATGTCCCTGTCCGCGAAGTACTGCGTGGCCACGTCCCCGATGGGAAGTTTGGACAGGACCACTTTTGCTCCTGACTTGTGGATTTTGTCTAGTTTGTCATACAGGATGTTCCACTCGGCATCCACGATGGCCTGGTAATCCTGGCAGGGAGGAGAGAGGGACAATCCTGTTATGATGGGTTGGGAACGTTGCTCTTGCAGCGCCAGCACAGGGCTGATTTCAACACCCTCCTCCAGCTTAATCCATCCCCCCTTGTCCTGTCCCTCCATCCCTTGTCCCAAGTCCCTTTCCAGGGGCTCTCAGGTCTCCCTGGAGCCTTCTCTTCTCCATGTGAACCCCCCCAGCTCTCCCAGCCTGGCTCCAGAGCAGACACACCCCAGTCCTGGGAGCATCTCCCACCTCTTATCCCACTGGACAAGCAGCCACCACACCCCGCAGGGATGGAGCAGCAGGGCAGGCTCCCCTTTGGCTCTCACCTCCACTGTGTTGACTCTGATTTCAGCGTTGTCCTTCTCAGCTTTGAGCTCCAGCTCCACGTTCAGGAGGGCAATTTTGGGGGACTGGTACTTCTTGGGCTGCATCTCAAACCCAGCGTAGGAGAAGGTCTTCTTGAAGGCAACTCCGGCCACCAGCTGTGAGTCCTTGAAGGCAGGGATTTGTGTCAGGCTCAGCCTCCCAAGGTTCTCTCCACAGGGTTAATAACTCCCACAGGAGACTCCCTGCTTCCAGAGGCCTCATTTACAAAGCCTTCCCAACGCTGTCTCCTTTGATTAACCCACTTTTTAGAGGGAAGGAGCGGCAGGGATTTCTCTCTGCTCACAAAAGCAGCTTCAATCGCTTCCTCCCCACCCCTCAAGACACCACAGCCAAAAATGCTGCACACACAACCTGGAGATCAAGGCATGGAGCAATCAGTTCCCTCCTTGATCTCTTTCCCATTCCTACCCCTTTGAACGTGGATACCTCTAATCCACACTCTGGGTTGGTTCCTTTTGCTCTGGTTTGTTTTTCCAAGCTCCGTCACCACCTGTGGGATTGTTTTGCCAGCAGGACAGCCCTGCCCAACCTGAAGGGATCTCCTTGACTCCATGGCTGGGAGAGAAATCAGGATCTAACTCTCCTACTCCACAGCCAGGAACAACCCCTTGCCATGAATCCAGGTGCAATCCCATACAGGGCAGGTATTCCAGCACTAGGGCATAAACCACACATCCCACCCATCCTGCCCACAACTAGATCAGCTCCTTCATGAGGTTTTCCTTGCATTTTTCCTGACCCAGTAATCCTACATACAACCAGGACTTTTGGGTCCAGAAGTAAAAAAACTTCCCATCAAAAAAAAAAAAACAAAAAACCAACCAACAAAAAACCCAGGCATTTAATTATTTGCAAAGATATAAATGGAATTTAGGATTTATATTAATTTGTATCAGCAATATTTGCTGCAGAAGACATTGAGGTGAGAGTGTTTTTGGTTCAAAAAACAGATTCTCTATCTATGGAAAAGAAATCCAGTCCTATTTCCCAAGCTATCTTCCTCACAACCTTTGTCTCACTTCGGGAATTCCCCAACAGGCATCATCAAGCCAGGCTGCATTTCTGCTGGAGCCAAGTGATTCCTGCCTCTCCCATCCCCTTCAGGACAGGCTCTGACAGAACTTACTTCCAGAGCTCCTCCTTGCACCTTCTTTATTCCGATCATTTTGAGCTGCAACAAGTCGTCCAACATCATGACAGCATCGACAACCATCTTGGAGAAGAACTCCTTGCTCTGGGAGATCAGCTTGGAGCTCAGGGCTGTGGCTGCACACTTCTCCAGGAGGCTCCTCTGCTCACTGCAAAGAGGAAAAACAGGGGCTTGTCACCTGACAGATCTTTTCACAAGCCCAAAATGCTGTTTGGTTTCATTAATCAGAGAACTGGTTTTGGCTGGAAAAGATCTTTAAGATCATTTAGTTCAGCACTGCCAAGGTCAGCACTGACCCCTGTCCCCAGGTGCCACATCCACAGGGATTTTAAATTCCTCCAGGGATGGGGACTCCACCCCTGCCCTGGGCAGCTGTGCCAGGGCTGGACAACCCTTTCCAGGAAGGAATTTTCCCTGATGTCCAACTGAGACCTCTTCTGGTGCAATTTAAGGCCGTTCCCTCTCCTCCTGTCCCTGTTCCCTGGGAGCAGAGCCTGACCCCCCCCGGCTTCCCCCTCCTGTCAGGGATTGCAGAGCCAGAAGGTCCCCCCTGAGCCTCCTTTTCTCCAGGCTGAGCCCCCCCAGCTCCCTCAGCCCCTCCTGCTGCTCCAGCCCCTTCCCAGCTCCGTTCCCTTCCCTGCACACGCTCCAGCTCTTGGCATGAGGGGCCCAAATTCCTCTCTGACAGAGCCAAAGATCAGCTCCCTCCTGTCAATGGGGAGAACAAGGCAAATCCCAAAATTCCTTTTAGAGCATCAGCCCAGCACCGACCACTTTGGTTGGCTTTTAGACACCTAAAACCAGGAAAACAGCGGGTCCTTTCCCTTATCCAAAGGCAGGAAGATGCTTCTAAAACTCTCTAAGGGCAGCACATTCTCTGAAGCATTAACTCAGGTTAATTATGTGTAACAGAGTGGGTGATAAAGAGACTCCAGGGAAATGTGGAGCCAACTGCGGGATCTCTCCCTCCAGTCCCTGCTGCCCATGGGAACCACTGTATTTCCCATCCCAGGACAGCATTTAGCTTGGGGTTTTTTTCAGTATTTTTTCACCTCTGGACAACTCATTTTGCTTTATTTAAAATGGTTATTGAATTGTAACACTTCAGATTTACTCCAGGTATTAGCAAGGTCACGTGGACAAGAACTTTAAAATCCAGGAAGAAAACGAACTCCAGTATTCTCACCTCAGCTGAAGGGGTCCTTTCCTTACTGCTATGAACTCTCTACCTTCCTCTGTGCAACAGCTAAAAAGGGATCTGATCCTCAGGGAATTGCTGAGATTTAACACTGGCACCGACTGCAGCAGGAGCTGCGAGTCTCCACTGCTGCAAAAAAGAAATCAGGCCACTTATTTTAGTGCCCAGCTCCCTCCCTGTGCACTGTGGAAGACACTGCCCTAATTATTCCCTGCAGCCAAGTGAGAGCAAGGCACGGCTCCCAGAGGAGCAGGAAATTCCAAATAATTTGGGAATAACCCCAGCGTGGGGGCCGCAGCTGTTCGCTCCGACCTCGAGACCTCAGCCAGAGGCACGGGAGAATTCAGGAACACCCTCACACCAACAGCTCAGCTGAAGCCCAGGAACACAACCAGGTCATCTCCACGGAAAACTTACTCTTTATCTTCCTTCTTCACGGAAACAGCGATGTCTTTGATCTTGTTCACAGCCTGCCAAGACACGGGGCAACAGCTGGATTAATGATTTATGCTCCTGAACTCATCACATCTCCCAAGTTTTTTTCTTTGCATTTTGAAGTTAATCTTTTATTCCCTGCTTCAACATCACTGAAGGATTGAAGCCATTCCACCCCTTCCAGCACAGAAATTCCAAGGAAGGCAGCAATTTAAGGGGAGTGGGAAGAGCTGCTCCGCTGTTTCCAGCGGTGATCCGGGAAAACACAGGGCTTTTGAGGGATTGCACCTGCAAAAACTCAGCTTAATGGGACCAAGAGGCTTGATGAGCTGCAAGGTTTACTAAGGAGCAGCAGAGATCAGGAGTTTACTCATTTTTCCATGGGAAAAAAAAAAAAACCACAAAAGGGAGAGACCGCACCCCAGAGGGAGCGACTGGTAACAACAGCTCCCTGACAGCAGAAAGGCAGCTCACGTTGGCAGGAAGACACCAGGAGATCACCAGTGGCACTCCCCACGCCTTGGAAGTGTGTCATTATCCCCCTCTGGCACGGAACTCCCGTCCCCAGGCGCTCCCAAAGGCTCACCAGCTGCGTGGCCGTGCGGAAGGCACGGATGATGATCTGGGGGTGCAGCCCTTCCTCCACGTAGGGCTTCACCTGCTTCAGGAACTCGGCTGCCAGCAGAGTTACCGACGTGGTGCCATCACCAACCTGCAAGGAGGGGGGACAGTGTCACCCACAGGCTTAGACAGCACCTGCAAAACCACGGAGGGCTTCCAGGGAAAGCGGATTTCAGGGTTATCTCTCCTGGCGGATTTGTGGGCGAATTCCTCGGTGATTCGTGGAATCGTGGAATGGTTTGGGTTGGAAAGGGCCTTAAGGGTCACCCAGTTCCACCCCCTTTCCACTAGCCAAGACCCCTCCAGCCTGGCCTTGGACACTTCCAGGGATTCAGGGGCAGCCACAGCTTCTCTGCCCAACCTGTGCCAGGGCCTGCCCACCCTCCCAGCCAGCAATTCCTTCCCACCCAAATCTCCCCTCCCTCAGCTTAACAGTAAAACAGCTCAAAGCACTGGCAAGTCATCACAAAAGAGAGGGGATCAGTAAAGAAACCAGGATAAATCCCAGCACCCCATGAGCAATCCCCAAAGCCCACAGGCTCCCGAGGGCAGCCAGGCTCCCATCCCACCTCTGCATCCTGGGATTTGGCGATGTCCACCAAGGTCTTGGCGGCCGGATGGACGACGTCGAGGAGCTTCAGGATGGTGGCACCATCGTTGGAGATCGTGGCTTTGCCTGGGAGTGATGGAGAAAAGGAAGCCAAGCTTCACCACCAGGACAAAGCCCTTGGCCCTGTGTCTCAGGGGGTCTCAGCAGGCTCCTCTGTTCCATCTCCATGATGTCTCCTCGGGATCAGAGTGCAAAACAGCTCTCCACACCAATTAAGAGGGGCTTAAATTTCCCTCTTACTTCTCAAGAGCCCCCCCAGACAAAACATACAAAATATATTTAAAACAGATAAAAACATATTCTGGTCTGACACTCACATGGAAAAATAGTCTAGAAATCATACAAGCTATAAGATAAATTTAAATCCAATTATACCTTTTAATTAAATTATTACATACACCCTATTTGTAAAAGCTATTCAAAGACAACGCTAAGACTTTCCACCTTGCTCTTTGAGTAAACAAAAATAACACACAATAATTAGTTTGGTGACTTCATACAGTTCCTTTCAGAGCATGGATGAGGCTCACCCCTAAACCACACTCCAAAAAAAAGATTAAAGAGGAGGCTCAGGGGAGACCTCATCACTCTCTGCAACTCCCTGACAGGAGGCTGTAGCCAGGTGGGGGTCGGTCTCTTCTCCCAGGCAGCTCTCAGTAAGACAAAAAGGCTCGGTCTCAAGCTGTGCCAGGGGAGGTTTAGGTTAGATTAGGGAGAAATTGTTTACAGAGAGGGTGATCAGGCATTGGAATGGGCTGCCCAGGGAGGTGGTGGATTCTCCATCCCTGGAGGTGTTTAAGGCGAGACTGGATGTGGCCATCAGTGCCACGGTCTAGTAACTGCGGTGGTGGTGGATCAAGGGCTGGACTTGATGATCTCAGAGGTCCTTTCCAAGCCATCTGATCCCAGGATTCTGTGATTGTACAATCCTTACCCCGGTCATCCACGATGAGCTTGTCCATGCCGCGCGGCCCCAGCGTGGTGCGCACGGCCTCGGCGATCACCTGGCAGGCATTGATGTTGCTGACCAGCTGGGGGATTCCCTGGGAGGTGTCCGTGCCCTCCTTCAGCAGGATAACCGGTGTTGGCTGCGGAGAGAACCCACAGCAGAGCTGTCACTGCTGTCCCAAATCACCCGGAGTGAACTCCTCGCGCAGCCCACGCCTCACACAGGACCAGGAGCAAACCCTGCAGACTCCTCACAGTTCAGTTCCCCTGCTTTCCACCTCCCCCTGTGCTGGGAATTCACCTAACTGCTTCCACTCTGGGACCCCCCCAAAATTAAGTGGGGGTTTTCTGGTGGTGTTTTGCTCAGTGACGTTCTGGTTCTGATGCTGGAGTTGGAGAAGACACAACATGGAATTATTACTGAGACAGCGAGGAACTGAACGAATTTGGGTGGTGGAAAGGTGTTCCCCTGGAGAAGAGAAGGCTCCAGGGAGAGCTGAGAGCCCCTGGTAGGGCCTAAAGGGGCTCCAGGAGAGCTGGAGAGGGACTGGGGACAAGGCATGGAGGGACAGCACACAGGGAATGGCTTCCCACTGCCAGAGGGCAGGGATAGATGGGATATTGGGAAGGAATTGCTGGCTGGGAGGGTGTGCAGGCCCTGGCACAGGTTGGGCAAAGAAGCTGTGGCTGCCCCTGGATCCCTGGGAGTGTCCAAGGCCAGGCTGGATGGGGCTTGGGGCAACCTGGGATAGTGGAAGGTGTCCCTGCTCCCTGCTTGGAATACATGGTCTTTAAGGTCCCTTGCAATCCAAACTATTCCATGAGTGATGCAACTGTCCCACAGATAGAGGCCAGACATAGCCTGAACACAGCCAAGATTTGGGAGGCATCAGTTTGGAACGGAGAGGAAAATTAAAACATGGCTGTGACAAGAACAAGAAACACAAGGAGCTACTGGAGAAGGTCCTTAAGATGGATCTGGAGAGGGATCTCATCAATCCACATAAATATCTCCAAGGGCTGTCAGAGGATGGTCCCAGACTCGTTTTGGTGGTGCCCAGCAACAGAACACAAACTAAAACACACCAAGTTCTGGCTCAACACGAGGAAGAACTTCTTCCCACGGAGGTGGCAGAGCCCTGGAACAGCTGCCCAGGGAGGGCGTGGAGCCTCCCCCTCTGGAGACATCCCAGACCCACCCGGACGGGTTCCTGTGTCACCTGCCCCAGGTGACCCTGCCTGAGCAGGAGGGTTGGACTGGGGGACTTCCAGAGGCCCCTTACAACCCTATTCCGCAACCCCTAAATCCTGGGAAGGCTTTGCGGACGGAAACGCGCGGAGCTCTCAATGGAATAAAGGGAACCTTTTATCCCCGGGGGGGAGGGGGGGAAACGAGCGCAGAGATACAAAAACCGGAGGGATCCGGGGGCCGGAGCTGCGGGGACGGGGCGGGGTGGAGCTGCGGGATCAACCCCGCCACGCCAGCCCTGGATCCTGCGGGAAGCGCCGCCGTTCCGCCCCATCCCATCCCACCCATCCCATCCCATCCCGGGTACCCCAGGCCCAAACCGCCGCGCCCCCATCGCGCCGCAGCCGCTCGGGGCGCGCTCCCCGGAGGTCAGCGGCGGCCCCGCGGGGCCGTTCCCGGCGGGAATGCCGGCGGATGGCCCTGGATGCGGCCCTGGGTGCCCACTCACCATCATCGCGGCGGCCCCACAGTGCCCCGCGCGCGCCCAGAACCTTCCCCGGGGCGGGGCCGCGCCTGGCTCACTATTTGGCAGGGGGATGGGGGGGGGCAGAAAGCCGTGACAAAACCCGTCGGCTCACTATTTAGCAGCGCGGCGCCGCCGTGACAGCGCGCCGCCCGCCCCTGCTCCGGGGTGATGGACGGCGGCGCGGACCAATAGAAGCGGGGCAAGCGGGGCGCTCCGCCAATGGCGGGGGCGGGGCGGGGAGGGGGGCGGGGTTTAGCGCAGCCATGCTGCCCTGGCTCTGGCTCTGGCTCTGGCTCTGCGCCTGCTGCGGGACGGCCCGCGGTGAGTGAGGGGGGCTCGGCACGGGCCCCGCACGGCACCGACCCCCCCCCCCCGGCCCCCGCATCGGTGCTCCGCGATCCCGCGGTGCTTCCGCTCCCCGCATCCGCGGCCCCGGTGCGGTTCCCCTCCTGTACCCGTGGAGGGATGCGGGGGCATTTCCCTGCTCGCTGCGCCGCGACCGAATTGCGTTTGTCCTCCTGCATCCCGGTCTGGGTGCACTTCCCCTCCTGCATCCCAATCCAGCCACATTTCCCCTCCTGCATCCCAATCCAGGTGAATTTCCCTCGGTGCACCCTGACCTAATTGCTTTTCCCCATCCAGCACGCCAACCCAGCTGCATTCCTCCTTGGTGCACCCCGAGCCCGTTGCATTATTTCCCCTCCTGAATCCCAATCCAGGTGCACGTCCCTTCACTGCATCCTGACCCCGTTGCATTTCCACTCTGTGCCCTGTGATGTGGGTGGGTTTCCCACCAATGCATCCCAGTTCCACGGCATTTCCGCTCCTGCACCCCAATCCAGATGAATTTCACCTCTGATCACCTCAATCCTTATCTGCTCTGTGGTCCCTTTGCATTTTCCTCTTCCCCTTGTGCACCCCAGTCCACCCCAATCCCAGTGCCTTTCCCCTCCATCCCTTCTCAGCTCCTGGGAACTGTTGTATCTCCCCTTGGAGCATCCCAAAACTTCCCCCGTGGCTCAGGAGTGATAACTGAGAATTGTCCCATTTTTTTCAGGGATTTTCCCTGTGCTTTTCCCTGCCTCTCACACCTCTCCCTTCACCTCCAGGTCTGCGCATCCATGAATACTTGTACTTCCAAGTGCTGAGTCCCGGGGACATCCGTTACATCTTCACCGCCACTCCAGCCAAGGATTTTGGTGGCGTGTTTGTAAGTATTTAAAACTAAATTTGTGGCTCTGGGTCTCTCCATCCCAATATTTCTCCTTTGTGGGGCTCAGTGATTTGGATTTTTGATAAAAACGGAGCTAATTGCTCTTCCATGAGCATCCTTGGCCTCAGCAGGCTTCCAGAGGCAGGGGTTGGGCTGGCTCTGCAGGACTTGGAATGGGGCACCTGGAAGCTCAAAATCTCCCCATATGAGCAAGATATGGGACATTGAGGGGCTGGAGCTTGTCCAGGGAAGGGAACGGAGCTGGGAAAGGGACTGGAGCAGCAGGAGCAGCTGAGGGAGCTGGGGGGGCTCAGCCTGGAGAAAAGGAGGCTCAGGGGGGACCTTCTGGCTCTGCAACTCCCTGACAGGAGGGGGGAGCCAGGGGGAGTCGGGCTCTGCTCCCAGGGAACAAGAGGAAAAATGACCTCAAGTTGTGCCCGGGAAGTTCAGGTTGGATATTGGGGAAATTCCTTCCTGGAAAGGGTTGTCCAGCCCTGGCACAGCTGCCCAGGGCAGGGGTGGATCCCCATCTCTGGAGGGATTTAAAATCCCTGTGGATGGGGCACTTGGGGACAGGGGTCAGTGGTGGCCTTGGCAGTGCTGGGCAGTGCAGGGACTGGAGAAGGGCTTGGAATGGGAAGCAGCTCCGATGCCTCATCCCTGCCTGTTTCCCTCCTGAAGAACACAAGGTACGACCAGATCCACCTGGTGCCGGCAGATCCCCCGGAGGCCTGTGGAGAGCTGAACAATGGGGTCTTCATCCAGGACCAGATCGCCCTGGTGGAGAGGGGGTAGGTCTGGCATCACAGGGGGTTTGGGGGGACCCTTGGGCAGGAGGGGAGATGCTCATGGCACTGAGGGTGAGATTGCCATGGGCACATCTCCCACATCTTCTCCATGTGGGTGAATGAGGAAAACGTGAGGGTGTTCCTACCCCAAAGCACTTCATCTTATGTCTTTTAGCCTGTGCTAGGGTGGGAGAAAAAACATCTGGGTTCACATTGAAAGAGGTTTAGATGAGATATTGGGAAGAAATTCCTCCCTGGGAGGGTGGGGAGGCCCTGGCCCAGGTTGGGCAGAGAAGCTGTGGCTGCCCCTGGATCCCTGGAAGTGTCCAAGGCCAGGTTGGAGCAACCTGGGCTGGTGGAAGGTGTCCCTGCCCGTGGCAGGGGGGTTGGAACCGTATAATCTTCCAAGTCCCTTCCAACCTACACCATTCCATGGTTCTATGATTCTATTTTGTTTTTCCTTAGGAGTGTGGGTGGCTCGTGCCTGAAATAGAGACTCGGAGGAGCGCAGTTTGGGCGAGGCGCAGGATTGGGGAGACAACCCCTGGGCTGGGTGTCTCCAGGCAAGGCCCTGGCACTGCCAGGCTTGGCACCTACCTGTGGGCACCAACCTTTTTGTCCCTCTGTGCCCCAGGGGCTGCTCGTTCCTTTCCAAGACCCGAGTGATCCAGGAGCACGGCGGGCGGGCCGTGATCATCGCCGACAACGCCTACGACAACGACAGCTTCTACATCGAGATGGTGCAGGACAGCTCCCGGCGCACAGCCGACATTCCAGCGCTCTTCCTGCTGGGCAGGGACGGGTGGGTGCCCTGGCACGTCTCCCCAAGGGGTGGGACAGCTCATGGGAAGGGCAGAGAGATGCCTCGTCCCCACAGAACGGGGTCCCGGCGATCAGCGTGTCCCTCCTGGGCTTTGCGGGAGAGATTTGGAGCGGATTCAGTCATGATTAATCCACAGTTGGAGCTTTGTGGCTGAGTTTGAGCTGTTACGGTTCGAGTTGTGGTTTATGCTCAAGGCTGGGCTTCAACTCTCCCAAATCCAGCGCCTCTGGAACACCTGTCACCTCTTTATCCTTTCCAGGTACATGATCAGGCGCTCCCTGGAGCAGCACGGGCTCCCCTGGGCCGTCATCTCCATCCCTGTCAACGTCACCAGCATCCCCACCTACGAGATGATGCAGCCCCCCTGGACCTTCTGGTAGCAGCAGGAGGCTGTGGTGGATCGTGGGCTTCCAGTGGATCCCAGGATTTTACCCTAAGCACCAGGTTTGAGGAAGGAGTCCCAACGTGCTCCGGAGATCCCACAGGATTCGGCAACCGGGAGATCTTCCTGCCGGCCAAGTACCAGGTGGGAACCTTGAGCCTGGCACTGAGCACCCTTTGCTGTGACTTTGTGGGAGGGAGGTGATGGCCCAGAGCAGGCCGGCGCTTCCCAGGAAGCATTTTAACTTGTGCTGCTGATTTGGAGGGATGCAGGACTGGCAGGGATGGGAGGGAGAGCTGGTCTGGACCAGCAGGGCTCGCCCCACGTCTGTATATTTTTGTCTGAGCTAATGAAGTCAGAATGTTTTAGAGAAAATGAAGTTTCTCCTTTCTTCTTTCAGCAGTCAGGGGATGAAGGGATAAATCTCATCCCCTAATATTTTCCCTAGTCGAATTCCCAAGGTGCCTCCTGCAGCTGGGCCAGCGCTCAGCCATGGGGTGAAGCAGCAGCATGGCAGAGCCTCCAGCCCTTGTCCCCAAGGTGTGTGTCCCTGGTCACAGAGCCCCCACTCCAACAGGTGCCTATTCCCTCATCCCCACACCTGTGTCCCCACAGGACCAGCAGCCCCTGGGTCAGCCACCACCCTCCAGTTTACCAGTATAAACCACGGGGTCCCAGTTCTCACCAGTCTCGGTTTATTACGAACACTGAAGGGGCCACGGCCCCGGGACGGTTGGGGACAAGCAGCGGGGTCAGGGCTAGCAGTGATGGCAGTGTCAGGGGCGTGTCACCCTCAGTCCCACAGTCCAGCTGCCACGGACACAGCGACGAGAAAACGGCTCCCTAAAATCCACGAGGAGAGGGAATAACCCCGGAGTGCACCCCCAGCCTGCTGCCTGTCCATCGCTGGGAGCCGTGTTGTCCACAGACAGGGACACTGCAGCACGTGGTGCGGCCTCGTCGCTGGCAGCGTGGGTGACAAGGGGACATCCACGTAGGGCCACTCGGTGCCAGGACATCTCTGTGTGGAGCCACTCGGTGCTGGGATGTCTCCATGTGGGAATTTGGGGTGGGAAAGCGCACAGCAGCTCCCACTCGGGCACATCCTCGTCCTGCTGCCAGACAGAGGGACAACTCCCAATGTCTTTGGGGTTTTGGATGACAACACATGTCAGCTCTGGGATGGTGTCAGCCTGGCCATTCTCCATCCCCAAATGGTCCTGGAATCACTGCCTGGGGCTGTGCTGTTGGAAGGACAGGCTGAGTCAGGCAGGAGGTGCCTCCAGGAGTGGCTCCGCTCTCCCTGCTGGACTCAGGATCTGAGTCCCCGAGGTGTCCCTGTCCCTGCAAAATCCCCTCACTGCTCACCAAGGCATGGAATGGAGGATACAGAAGGACCCCGGCTCTGAAGTGTGTAGATAGTGCTTATATAGACATTAAATAGTTCCCCTCGTGCACAAACACACACACACACACACATTCCCTCATCCCTGCGGGGCGGGAAGGATGAGCTCCACATCCACGGCCGGCACAGACACGGAGCAGCCTCGCAGGTGGCCACAAGGAGGGGCTGCCTGGATCCTGCTCTCATCCAGCTTCCTCTGCAAGCACCAGCCAGCCCCTCCGGGAAGCGGGATTGTGGCAGAGGGACACCAGCTCACAGCTTGTCCTCACAGGGAGGACGGGGACAGCCTGACACGCACACAACAGGGACAACACGGGCAGGCGGGAGCAGAACCTGCCTCCGGCTGCCCCACTCCGGCACCTCCGCACGGCCGCCCCACCCGACCCCACAAC